ACATATTCCAAGATAGTAGCAGTAGAATACAGTAGTGAAGATACAATAATAAATAGGTCAATCTACGTTTAAAATAAAATCTCCTTTCTAAACAATGAAAGAATGTATCCACTGGGAATTACTCGGCATGTAGCATTACAATGCCCGATGAAGCTCCGTGAAGCGTTTGAAGGCAAGACAGAAGTAAGACAATACCACCTATAATCACAAATGATATTCCTGACTGAAAGGGACTAGATCGTACAACAGCCGCTGGGGACTGAGTAGACAGGCATGCGCTTTGAACCCAAAATGGACTTCACGAATTGGTTTTTTGCCTAATCTCGTACAAAATCGAAGGTCTAAGGGTGGAAACATTTAGGTTGGCGCAGAAGAAGCAGTCGGGAAACGAAGGCAGGACTTCAACTGAACATCACAATCACCAATGGAACCTACTTTGAAGGAAATCACCAATTTCACTTATCTCAACAGAATCATTTCAACTACAGGTGAAACGAATGAGAGTGAAAAAGGCAGAATCGGTAAAGTAAAATAGCTTGATTGGACACTAGTAACTAGCGCGATGTGTCTAGTCCATTCTATCAGTCAGGTTAAGTTTGCAAAGTGGCCACCATGCCACTAGGTAGCTTCGCCATCACGATGCACATTGATTTGATGATATTAGGTGGTTGAAGGCAATCGGCAGGAAACCTTGGACCTAAATTTCATGCTAGTTGGCACTCGTCAGCAAGGCGTATCTGCAACCTGCAACGTCTCTGACTGCAGGTAGTACTGGGTAACGCGGGTTCGAATCTCAGGAGGGACACATGAGTTCCTTCAAGGCAGTTGCAGATACGCCTATTGCTGACTATTGAGTACCAACTAGCACGAAACCTAGGACAGACAAGGCTTCCTGTGGCCGATTGCCTCCAACCATCTAATATCATCAAAAGTAAGATAATTTTTCTATAGTTGGTTTGTAAGGATTAGATTTGCTTTTTACCCAAGTGGATGCGTACTGTCGATGATTCCCAAACTAGGATGAAATAGCTGCCCAGTACTCCGGTGTTGGTTTTCAATGGTTCTTCAACTGATATCAATCTGTGATCAACTCGTAAAGAGTAAGATAGACCTTGATTACTCTGGGATTAGTGTGCAGGCAGACCTACTGCATTGATCGTAAAGAATAAGATTCGAATTTTCAGCACTAATGTCAAGTCAGTCACTACTTCAGTATTGTTCAGAGACTTGGTTAGAGCGTAAGAAAAAGCGTTTCCAACAGGCTACTGTAAACCTGTATCGACGACTGCCTTCACTGCACTTCATTACTACTAAGAAGATCAAATAGTCGACCGGAAAGAATAAGTAACAAGGAACTCTGGCAACGAATCAGAGTCAAGAACTTATCGGCCACACACACACACACAGACACACGCTGAGGACACCGTCGTTGAGTGACACATCAAAAATGCCAAGGAGGCCGCCTTCCAAGAAGGCCCGAATAGGAAACGGTGAGTTCAGAATGAGTTCGGGGTGGACATGGAAGAGACAGAGAGAGACAAGGAGATGAATGCTTAGGCATAATCGTGGAGCGAGCTGACAACAACTATAGTTAACAGAATGAGATGGAATAATAACCTCTTCATTATATCTATCCTTCATGCTGCACAATCATTTCTTCATAATTCTTTTTTTTCATCTTAATGTCCTTTCAGCTGGACCAGATGGAATACCCCCGGAAGCACTGAAAGCGGACCCAGAAACGACAGCAGATATGATGACTCCATTATTGCAAAAGGTCTGGAAGGAGGGAAAGGTGCCTACTGACTGGAGGAAAGGTTACCTCATGAAACTACCAAAGAAGGGCGACTTAGGACTCTGCAAGAACTGGCGAGGAATCATGCTCTTGTCGACGCCAAGTAAAATCGTGAGTCGCATCATCCTAGAGAGAATAAAGGACGCACTGGATACAGAACTCCGCCAACCAGAACAAGCTGGGCTCAGGAAAGGCAAATCATGTTCTGACCAAATCGCAACTCTACGCATCATCATCGAACAAAGCATGGAATGGCAATCAAATCTCTAACTCAACTTCATAGACTTTGAGAAGGCCTTCGACAGCGTTGACCGCGAAGTAATTTGGAAACTACTCGAGTACTACGGCGTACCCCAAATATTCATCAACCTTATTCAACAGTTGTACGACAACGGCACATGTCAAGTGATCCACAACGGAAAACTCAGCGAAGCGTTTGGAGTAAACACAGGAGTCAGAAAAGGGTGCTTATTATCACCAATGATATTCCTAATTGTGGTGGACTGGATTATGCGTCAGACAGTGGGAAACGAGAAGACAGGGATATCCTGGACCGACGTAAAGAACCTAGAAGACCTGGATTTTGCGGATGATTTATGTTTGATGTCACACAAAATCGAAGACTTACAAGCGAAAACTGACAAACTGGTGGAAGAAGCAGCCGGCGAAGACAGGAATCCAGGTGAACATAGACAAGACGGAGGTTATGAAAATAACCAACTAACCAACAACAACAACAGCAGCAACATACAGTGCCAATCACCATCAACGGAAGGGATTTGAAAGAGGTTATTTCATTCATTCAAATATCTAGGGAGCATTGTCTCAACTACAGGAGGAACGGACGAGGATGTCAAATCGAGAATCGGGAAGGCGAGAAACACATTCATCAACCTGAAACCAATCTGGAAATCTTGGTCACTCAGCATCAACAACAAAATTCGGATTTTCAATACAAACGTCAAGTCAGTTTTGCTATATGGATCAGAAACTTGGCGGGTCACAAAGAATATTTCCAACAGCCTGTTGCAGACCTTTATCAACAACTGTCTTCGTTCTATACTGAAGATCAGATGGCCGCCGTAAAGAATCACCAACAAGAAACTATGGGAACAAACAAAACAAGAACCAATCACCAACCAACAAATATGCAGGAGATAGTGGAGATGGATTGGATAGCCGCTGAGTGACATCGCGCGTCAGGCCATTGCTCGAGTGGAACCCGAAAGGGAAGTGGCAAGTGGGACGTCCAAGGGTGACATGGAGGAGATCGTGTGATGAGGAATTGAAACAGTATGGACTAACATGGATGCAGGTGAAAAGTACAGCATAAGACAGAAGCAAGTGGAGACGTGCAGCTGAAGCCCCAAGTTCCACTAGGAACCCAAGGGAATAATAATAATAATATAATGTCCTTTCAGTCATCAGTTAGAATAACTCTAACATCACTCAAATGTGTGTGTGTGTGGGGACGTGAGGGGGGTAGTGTGGACAGGGTGATGAGTTAGATCGATAATAGCTCCACTTTTTTATCGGATGTTTTATCATTTTGATCAATCGATTTAACAACACATCAATCCCACAGTGCATTAAAAATAACGATCAATCCTTGTGTTATTCAAAGTACACAGATTGATTCACTTTTTCAAATGTACATTTTAAAGAAATTCAAAAAGTTTGTTATGAAAATAAAAATGAGAGACATAAAGAGATTTTTTTTAAATTGTTTAAATTTGTATTTCCCGGACCGATATAGCCAGCCTCTTTTTCATTGGACACTAGTAACTACAGTGTGACGTGTCTAGTCCTTTCTTTGGTGAAGACTGAGCTCTATCAGTCAGCTTAGTTTTTCAATGTGGCCACTATTCTAGGTAACTCGCCATCACGGTGCACATTGATTTGATGATAATTAAATAGTTAGAGGCAATCGGCAGGAAGCCTTGCTTGACCTAGGTTTCGTGCTAGCTGGCACTCAACAGTCAGCAAGGCGTATCTGCAACCTTAAAGGAACTCATGTCTTTTCTGAGATTTGAACCCGCGCCACCCAGTGCTGCAGTTAAAGACGTTACAACTGAGCTATTCCTGCCGATTGTCTCTAACTATTTAATTATCATCAAATCAATGTGCACCATGATGGCGAGCTACCTAGAATGGTGGCTACATTGCAAACCTAACCTGACTGATAGAATTCAGTCTGCACCTAAGAAAGGACTAGAAACGTCACACTATAGTTACTAGTGTCCAATGAAAATACCCACCACAGTCCTATAGGAGGTCAGTCGCGAGCCCGAATAGCTGGTGCAGTGGTAACGACATTGACTGCGGGCGGCACTGGGTGACGCGGGTTCGAATCTCAAAAGGGACATAAGTTCCTTCAAGGTTGCAGATACGCCTTGTTGACGAGTGCCAATTAGCACGAAACCCAGGTCCAAGGCTTCCTGTGGCCGATTGCCTCCAACTATCTAATATATCCATCCACTGTTGATATGTCGGCTCCCAGTAACGAGGCTTCTTCGACGATGTCTGGGGATTGATTAACATGACTTCATTAAATGGGTAATGATTAGCATTGGAATTCAAGACGCCCAATTCGTCCTATCTATGAATCGTCACCTGGATGTACCTACAGCCCCCCATCGCCAGTGAATGATCATTTTCCCTCTGAGACTCGAACACAATCAATACCCATCGTTTCAATCACTAAAACTTTATGTGCTAGGCCATGAGAGCCATCTCTTGTGTGCATCCTCGATTCCACTACTACTAGTCACCATTCACCAAATACGGGACCATCTGAATTCTCAGACATGTCAACAGACGCCGGGACATTTCACTCCAGTGAAAGGACCAATCGACAGGAAATACGATATTAACCTGAAATGCAAGAGGTAGCTCTCATGGCTCAAATGGCCGAGTGGATACCCAATTTGGTGTTTGAAACGGCGGGTTCTGGGTTCGAGCTTCAGTGAGGACACCAGCACTCATCACTCACTGGGGAATGCAGGTCTATTCGGCTGATGAGTCCCAGGTAGGACGAAATATGCTTCCTTGTGGATTCCAATGCTAGTCACCGTCCATCAACCAAAAATGATAAAACTACGCTGCCAAGCACACACACACACAAATGTACAATTAAAGCATGCATGAAAAAAAGAATAGAAATACGTCAGCTATAAACCAGTCTGTTAATTAGAAAAACATTTACCCGGTGAAGAAGTCAGTGAACCAACTGACAACTCTTGACCTTGTTGAATTGGTTCAAGAGTGGAGCCAAGAGAACAACCAACTGGTATAGGATGACTTATTGCTTGAACAGAGGAATTGTGCATATCTTCAGTTTTAGAAGATTTCTGTAATTAATATAGAAGAACATATCGAATTCAACAGTCCATTCAATGATAAAGTAAGAAGGTGAATGTTTGCAAAAAATATATATGGGTGTACTTGTAGTTTGTTTAATCATTTTACCCCATAGTTTCATTGTTAAAAAAAAAATGACAACAACAGTGCATTATTGGGTCTGATCAACTTTGATCGACTTCGTAGTGTGAAGTGAATTTTAAGGTCAAGGACACGAGTGAACACAATACATCGAGATAAATACTACTAATGATAATGATGATTTGCGATGGATATATATATATATATATATATATATATATGAAACTGGATTTAAATACTTCGTCATTGATCCAACAGCGACAACATCTGGCAACAGTCACCATGAATAGGAGGAATCTGAAAGAAGCAACCTCCTTTACATATCGACCTACCTACCTGGGAAGCATCATTTCAAATACAGGCGGACCGAACTGATGAGGATATCAAAGCGAGGATAGCGAAAATAAGATGCGGATTTCCAACTCCTATGTGGAGTCAGTGCTACTTCATATACGAATCAGAGACTTGGCGCCGCGCCGCGTCACGAAGGCCACTTCAAACAAACTAAAGGCCTTCATCAACAGCTGCCTTAACTCAATACTACTCAAGATCAAATGGCCGACCAGAAAAGATCAACAATGAGCCAAACAACCCAGCAGGAACCAATTGTGAAACAAATAAGCAGGAAGAAATGGAGGTGGCCATACCATCAAATGAGTGATATCACACGGCAGGCTCTCTCTCTCGAGTGGAACCCGAATAAGAAGCGGAGAGTTAGTCGTCAGTACGAGGGTGACATGAAGGAGATGGTGCGAAGAGGAGATGAAAGCATGTGAGCAGACTTGGAGCCAGTTGAAAACGTTGGCAGAGAATCGAACGCAATGAAGACGTACAGCTGAAGCCCTGTGGTCCTCTAGGAACTAAAGGAGACCATAATAATACAATACACTGATCCATTCATACTCGGCGAAGGCTTATCATTGAGAAGGAAACTAGATCATTTATGGTGAATGACGCGTGATGATAGTATTATACCAGTCAAATTCGCCAAGCAGTTCAGGCACAGTATCATCACCACTAATCTGACATTAGTCCATTAAGTTTTTGACAGTTTTGTTTTGCGTTAGCTATCTAAGGAAGGTGTAGAGTGCCGGGTTAGGGAACCACCAATGATTTGACTCAAAATTGTTCTCAATGATGGCGCAAATGCATTCGGCCATTGTAATCATTCAGATCCATTGACTCCACATATTTTTCCCTTGAACAAATCTTAATCTCATAAACTGTAACCGCTTTTGTTTTTTTAGTTGGTATGTGAACCTACAAGCTAACACTGTTTTGTTAATTAATTTTTTCTGTTTTCTGTTTTACTCCTCTCCCCTCTTTTCTACTTTTAAAAGCGTATAAATTGATGATGAAAACGTAAACTAAAAAATAGTAATGCTTTCATTTTGAATGCGTCAATTTTATAGTATCTCTTCTCTACTAGCAGTCAAACATTAAAGTATGTTATTATCATCTATATAACCATTGTAATTTTAGGTAGGGGTGTGCAGCTGATGAGGACCTGTGAAATAGAATGATGATATCATTTTATACTGCAAATTTTGTCTTCCTTTCTTTATCGAAATTTATCAAGGGAACCAAATGTATGAAATTTCCAAACTGGTTTCGGGTTAATGAAGGCGTATCATGCCTCACCAAATCTGGCTGGCTTCGACATCTTCATCCGTGCCATCCGCCTGTAGTTGAAACGATGCTTACTGGTTGGATAAGTAGTGAAGGCAGGAAGTAACCTCTGTTAAATCTCTCACGTTGATGGTGATTGATGCTGGTTATTGTTGTTAGTTGGTTGGTTGGTTATCTTCGTCAGCTTTATTGCAAAACAGTACATATCATACAGTATGAAATCTTCAGCAATTGGTACAATATCATTGCATCGAATTTACTCAAGGAGAACAGCAAAAACGGAAAGTATTTCAGGACCTAGGTAACCAGAATTTTTTTCCTTCACGTTCCCCAGTGGAACATAGGGCTTCAAGCTAGTGACTTGAAGTTTTTGTAGCAGTGTTTATTTTACAGGATGGGGTTGCTAGCCTCATGCCCAACCTTTCCTCTTTACCAGCATTATTTCTGGTTTAGCGAGGTAAAAGAGTGCGTAGGCCGGTGATTGAACCCCAGACCATGTGCATGGTCGGCGAGCGTCCTAACCGCAATGCCACCAACACACAACCACAGATTCTAGCAACGAATAATCATCTTTTTCTTCTCTATCTTTGAAGCGTTTTGTTACTGTGTGTATGTGTGTAACAACAGAAGACAAGGGCCAGGCAACAGATCGTTTATTAAGGAAATCAAAGCATATTTATATATTTTCATGTACATTATAACAGATTAGTTAAGCAAAAAAACACAGTCTTCTAATTGGTTGTTTCTCACTTAAAGTTAATCTTTCATCTCTTTGTGACTGTTTCTTGAATGTCGGATCATCTATATGTTAACTGTATCCACCTACGCAAAGTCTGCTGTGGTCGGTTTTGAATCAGTCTTTGTTCATATTTTCTCACGACAAATCTTGGGAACGTAAATATTGACGTAAATTACTGTCTACCAATTTGGCTAGTAGACAGCTCTCACCACAGTGTGTCTCAAAGAAGGTTTTTCAATATACAGGAGAACACAGAGATCGATTTCCTGCGTTCAGACCATAACGTGTCGGCATTGGTCGTAACAATGGTTGCACCAGCCCCCCTGCCCCAACCCGCGATACACAAAATATATTTATTATCTACAGTATCATCAATGAATTAACAAGACGTGAACAAGATGGAACAGTAGAAAGATTCATCTACAGAAAGCCGACATGGGACGGACAGCCGTGTGCGCCTATATACAAAACGAAACCTGCCCCATTCATCGAGCCACAGAATCCTCAGGGCAGCATTTGCAACCCTGATACAATGGAAGAGGAGTTAAACACCCTGAAAAGAATCCTCCTCGAAAATGGCTACCCAGAACGTTTCATCACGAAATCTATGAAACCTAAAACACCAAAATCGCCCACACTTCCTGCTTCCTAAATACTCTACCTGAGTCTACATTTCAATGGAGATTCATAAGCAGAGATAGTGAGAAACCGCCTGGGACCCAATCCAATGGTCCTTGAATTCTAACTTCTGCCAACTCACGACATAACGCAACCATTTCGCAATGTCTTCTTCGATGAGTTACTGCCTCATCTTCAACCTGCTGTACCTCACTGGTCACGGCTTCCCACTAGAACCCCAGGTTAACTGCCTGAATACGGCTAGTCACTAGTGAGCATCAGATTAATTTTCAAGTATTGGTTTTTTTGTAGGGATTTTTGTTTGATTGCATGGAGGATTTCATCATTCCACTGGTTCTCTAACCCAGATGTCAGCTCATGATGAAATCCTCCATGCAATCAAACAAAAATCCCTACAAAAAAACCAATACTTGAAAATAGAGAGAGTGTTGAGAGTCAGCAAAAAATATGGATTTAGACCATTTCTCGCATGAGTTCAAATGTCAAATGTCGACCACAATAGTAATAAGCTGACTAAGTGGCACCCCACTTGCTCTACTGAATAACCTTTAATATCCTTCTCAAAATGACAGATTCCCTTACCAGTAAGTAGCCCAGGAAAGACTAACAGGGGAGCTGTAAAAAAGTACAATAGGTAAGAGATGTAAGCGAGGTCGTCGAGTGATTTCCTGATTGTCTTAACTGCTTCTTCTTAATGTAGTAAGGTTAGACGGAACATTTTCCTGGAAATCTACAAGATATGGGATAACCACAATAAAATCATCAGAGGATAGAACTATTCCAAGGTATTTTGTTCTTGACTTAGTGTCCCTCTATTTCAGTGACCTCTATGCTACAGGCATCTTGCAAACGGACCAATTCGTGTAGATTATGTTTATGCACAAAGGTGAAGTTAGCTATCTGACATTTAGCTTAGACCACTCACTGGCTGATGTCCGACACAAAGCTGCCAAGCTTGGAATTTATATATACACTTACCATATGTACATCTGACCTATTCCTATCGTCCATATGACCGGGGGGTACTAAGACTGGTTGATTATACTCCTCAGTTTTCAGCATCTCTCCAAGACCTTGTTTTTTTTCCTTTGCGAGGTATCTCTTCAGTCTAAAATTAGATAAAAGAACAGCAGATAATAAAAAGAATAAGCCTAATTAACAGAATGCATTTCATAACTGATTAAAGATGCCTTTATTCATTACAAACTTCAAAAGACTGAGATTAGTGAACAAAGAATATTCCTCTTTTTCTAATGAACTGTCGTCAAAATTTAACAGAATACTTCTAGAAAAGACATTTGTAAAAAATTATATTTGCAATATCTCAGCGATATTGAAATAAGTAATTCCAACGTTTCGTTCGGCAATCTGGTCCGAACTTCTTCAGGAAAATTAATCAAAACTAACATAACAGAGGTTTTTATATATAAAAGGCACATCTTTTTAAAAACTTTGTCCAATCATGATTCATTCAACAAGTATTAACAAGTATAATAAACAAAATTGTATGAACTGTGATCAAAATTTTACCACGGACATACAAATATTGGTCCACCTTTGTTAAACACTTTAAACAGAGTGTGCATGTGTGTGTGGGGGTAAACAGTTGTAAAACATTTGTTAACGTCTCCATAAGAAGATTTGGACAGTCGAGATTTTTGACCAAGTATTATTGATTAATTAGTGATACATATCCATTTTTATTTATTAATCAGGATTTTGCTATGCATCAGCTAACATCACGCCTTCATGTCTGTTCAAACTGTTAGTATCTAGAATTTTATGATTAGACGTATTTTCAAAATTATGGTGTTTAGGATTAGAGTTTAGTAGAAGCACCCTGTCGAACTTATTGCATTGTCTTCTTTCTGAAGTTTGAGCTGCTTTATTCGACCTACTGGAGTTGTCAGGCGACTCAACAAGGTTTATGCATAAACCTTATTATCAATATTTTGTTATCATTATAATCATCGTTATTAACTACGTTCAAAACATTTACCACATTATTATTATTATTATTATTAAGACTATTAAGATTATTATTTGATTCCCAAAATCACCGTCATCTGGTTAAAATTTTATATATAAATCTATGTAAATTAGAGTAAAGCCTGAAGAAGATCTAATTGAAAACAATATTGTTCGCTTATATGTCTTGTTCTAATATTACACATGTTGATACCTGTTTCATGACTCATGATTGGACAAGGTTTTTTTAAAACAAGAGATGTTCCTTTCATATATAAACCTCTGTTATGTTAATTTCGATTAGTTTCCCTGAAGAAGTTCGGACCAGATTGTTGAACACAGGAAACGTTTGAATTACTCATTTCAATCTCGCTGAGATTTTACAAATATAATTCTTTTTACAAATATTCCTCTTTTTATTTAGATTATATAATTTGTAGGGATTTAAATTAACTTTAATTTCAATTAATAGAACCAATGAATCAAAATTAGAGAGGTCATTGAAAAAACGGCATGAAGTATTAGACAGCTGTTTCGTCCTAGTTATTGGGGGACTCTTCAGTAGTATAGTGCACATTCACGACTATATCTCGAATCGAATTCAGGAGATAAACTCGTTGACCTTTCAACCATCTAGGCTGGAATTCAATGAATGATAAGTGAATTCTAATTTTGTAAACTCATGATATGGAGTGCTTTTATCAACCCCTGAGGAGCGCATCCACTTCACATCTTGACATAGTGAACTGTAGTGTGGTCACGAGTTTTCAGCACAGCTTCGGAACATACATATCCGACAGCCAACAATATGAATTGGAGATTGATATTCATCATTAGGTTCCATAATAATTAAAGAATTATTGATATTGACAACAATAATGTGTTAATATGGAAAATCATTGACATCAAAATTCCAAGACTGTTTAATAGATTACAGATCGAAGCATGAGGGGAAATGTGTGATAAATATATTATGAATAAACGTGACACTAAATTGAATATCAGTAAATAACTATGAATACTAATCAGAACATATAGAGTAGTCAGTCAATGCTCATGATTAATGCTCATAAATGAATTTTATTCATCATGAGCTGACATCAGTTGGAGAACCATTGGAAACCACCACGGAGTACTGGGCAGTCAGCTCTTTCGTCCTAGTATGTGACTCTTCGTCAGTACGCACCCTCTCCATTAGGATTCGAACACAGGACCTTCTAATTACAAGGCTAGTGAGCTCGTAGACCATTTACTAGCCACTGGGACTCGATCCAATGTCCAGACCGTGAATTCTAACTTCTGCCAATTCATGACACAGCACGACCACTTCGCAATGTCTTATTTGATGAGTTACTGCCTAACCAGGACCCCAGGTAACTGCCTGAATAGCGCAAGTCGCTATTGAGCATCAGGTCAATTTTCAAGTATTGATTTTGTAGGGATTTTGTTTGATTGGTGGGAGGATTTCATCATGAGCTGACAACAGTTAGACAACCACTGGAAGACTTCGGAGCATTGAACAGCTGTTTCATTAGCATAAATTTCGAACTCTTCGTCAGTACGCACCCACCCACCACCAGGGTTCGAACCCAGGACCTTCTGTCCAGTACTCCCAGATGGTTTTCCAATGGTTCTTTAACCGATGTCAGCTCATGATGAAATCCTCCAACCAATCAAACAAACAAACAAAATCCCTACAAAACCAATACTTGAGAATTTTATTCATATTGCTTATAAACTTCATGTGGATGAATAATATTTAAAAAAAGAGGGAGAAAAGATAGGTTGGAAGGTTGTGTATATATGTGTGTGTTTTGATAAGAAGACAAAGGACTAGTTCACATAAGTGCAATAATAAAGGGGTAAGGGAGTTTAAACAAACACGATGGGAGGTCATAGTTAAAAGGTGGGACACGTAATACAGTGTACATGAATTTATTACTGTAAATAAATTCCAAAGTTTATGACTGAAACTGAACAAGCATAAAAACCATCTAGTCTTGACGATATTCGGTGACACTATGTCCATCGAACTTCAATGTGTATACTAGTTGTGGCCGAATTACACCCAGTGACCATTAAATCCCATTTCAAATAACTTTAATCTTTGAATTTTCCCTACCGACTTCTCTTTCGGTGAACCGAACTTCATCAGTATTTCTGCTACGGTAGTCATTAGTTGATGAGAATATGTTATTCTAAACCCACTGATCAGCAGCATCATAACGATGATCGACGTGTCTTAACAGCTCGACTACGAGTAATCAAACAGTCATGTGAAGAAAAATAATTTTAAAAAATTGAAGATGAATTAAGCATTGTATGTGATACTTTGATCGAAAATAGCTATCCCGAAAAATTTATCAAGAAACACATGACAAAAAGAAAGCGGAAAAGGACTACTCACTGTCTGTAAACAAGAAGCCACTTTATATACGACTACAATTTAAGGGCGATATACCAAGTGAGATAATTACGAGGAAACTAAGAAAATCAGTTCAAAGAACTTTTAATGCTGGCGAACCACACGTATTATTCTCTACACGATCGATGGTGCTACCTCGACTGAAAGATGAAGTACCTAGACTAGCCACTTCAAATTGTATTTATCAATTCAACTGCGCTTATGGAGCGAGTTATATTGGCCGTTGCTCTAGGAACTTGATTTTTCGTGCTCGAGAACATATCCCACTATGGCTAAGTAAAGATGTAGTAAAACAGTTCGATATTGGACCATCTGGTGCAAACCGGCCACAAAGCCAGCGTGGAAGAATCCTTCTCTATCATCTACCGGTTGCCTAACAAATTGCCAAAATCATCGAAGCACCGCATACTCCAAACAGCAGAGGCTATTGCAATTCGCCTCAAACAACCAGTGCTCTGTGTTCAAAAGAAACAAGTCCAGCTAGCCCCTACTGCTACCCTGGCCTTCAGTAGAGACTATAAACTCATGAATTTGTACTATTACCTTTCCTAATTCTTCTGACATTCAGTTTATTTTATGTTGATGCTGTTCAGCTGTAATCTATCAATATTACTGATTTGATGTTATTCAAACATTAATGTCGTTCATAAGACTAATTCATTCATTCACTATAATGTATATATAACTGTAGAGCCTGATGATGAATTTATCGAAAAGAGTACTCTTTGTTCAGTATCCATTCTTTTCAAAAAAGATTAAAAAATGAAAGACTGTGCCTTTCAGCATGAAATTCACTGAACTGATTAACAATTTAGAATTGATTAAATGAGTTTAGTTAAGATAAGGTTTAGATGAAGTTATCCTCTCCCCTACCCCCCCCCCTCAGTAGTCACATGCTTTCGTAGGTAAAGAATGATTTAGTTCAACGAATTGTTCCTTCTAGCAGAAAGACTATTTTCGCACAGTTTGCTTCAACATATCTTCATATTACCTCAATATAAAACTTTGCCATCATCACAAGTGTTAGAATGCTCGCCAGCCACACACACACACATAGTCAGAGTTCAGTTCCCAGAGGCATAGAGGCTAACAACGTCCTGTAAAAAAAAACGTCACTACAGCTGGTGAAACACTCCAAAGCTCAATATACTTGAAGCCTCCATGTTTCACTCGGAACGCAAAGGAATTGAAAAGAAAGAAAAGAAAGGACTACCGGCTAAGCGAGATTATAAACGGATTTCGTCGGCCGGGAATCGAACCCCGAATCACTTGCGCGCCATAGGCTAGAATTCTACCAACAATAAATAGGATTTTTAAGTGGTATAACTACAGAAGGTAGTGAATACATCACTAGATGTCATCTAGATGAATGACACTAGTCGCTTCCTACCTACTGTCCGATCAAAGTATCTATCCAAGTCCTACAGGAGGTCGATCGTGAGCCCGTATAGCTCAGTGATAACGTCTATAACTGCAGCACTAGATGACATGCATTCAAATCTCAGGAGGGAGATGAGTGCCTTCAAGATTGCAAATGCCGATCAATAAAGCGCTTACTGACAAGGCAATGAGTGACAACAAACACGAAACCTAGATCACGTTGGCCATTCTGACGATTATCTTCAACCATCCTGATAACACCGATTCACAGTGATAATTCAAATATACTCGGAAAAGGCTTAATCTATGTGTAAAACTTGGGCACTGTGGTAACA